CCGAGGTTCCACTCCTCAAGGCAGCTTTCCCCTCATTCTTAGGCCGACAAGCTTGAACATCTAGCATACACGCACACTATGAGTAGGGTGTTCAGAAATACCTACATATGATCATATCATTAGTGTACTTTTCGGTAAAATAAGCCACACGCCTAGTTGTTGGCGACCTTGCCGTGCCAAATGGGTAGATAAACATTCTCACTACATGACATTCTCTCCCATTCGAATTCGTTTACACCTTCGTGGCGGGAAGTGAACTTCGCATCAACGAGCATCTCTCTCATTGCAAGAATAACAATGCCTTCAAATAATTAATTTCCATATTTCAAGTTTTAGATTTTCGCTATTTTTGGAATGTTTTAATATTCTATATTTTTAGGGTTTCTTGTAACGCCTATTTAGAGACTTTTGAACGTTTTTCTGATCATTATTGATAAAATTTCGTTTCTTTGGTAGATTTCAAAATTGGTTCTTCAGATTTACGTTCGTAAATTTTTGTCTTCCGTTTTGCGTCAAATTTTCTTTTATTAAATTTATATTCTAAATTTTATTTGTTTAGTTCGTTGGAGACTTATCAAATCTTTCAAACAAATTGGTATCAAATATTAATTTAACAACACTTATAATTTTTTTTAGAATAACGTGCAATGAATGTTCAAGTCCGACTAGTATTAATAAAATACACGTACACAAAAATGTTGAAGTATTGATAAAACTATCGGGGGTCAATTTTAGACTCAACCATCTATTTATAAGACATATATACCACGTCGATAAAAAAAATTAGATTATTTAAATGTCGGATAGATTATAATCGCATTGGAGATCATCTAAACTTTAACCACAACAATTTTATAATTAACATATGAATCTTATCTCATTATTCCATTTGATTCGTCACATTTTATTTTACTAGCACTGTTAAACAACTATTTTATAATTAACATATGAATCTTTTCTCATTATTCCATTTGATTCGTCACTTTTTATTTTACTAGCACTGTTAAACAACATTGTCTCATTAATAGAAAAATTGTTCCCTTTAATTTTCTTCAACATTTATCAGAGGTGAAGGCTTGCAAATCATACAATATACTTCAAAAATCAAAGCATATATCCCTTAAAAACATTCATGAATCTATTAGCAGAATGGCATGAAATTAGCTTTTCTCATATTTTTCCTTTCCTTCTTTTATTAGATTTTTCTCCGATTTTATTATAAATTTTTATCATTACAGTAAGTTAGAATTGACATAAAAGAAAAGAAATCCAAGAGATTTAACATAAAAACGGTCACACGTATATTATCCATACTTCGTTAACACAACACCAACACCAAACAAAAACCAGATACTGCACGAGATCGATGGAGCATCTTACAGTAAATTAATGTAATCAAAGACGGATTATTTACATTGCCTCATAGGTCTTAAAATGTATAGTTAATTGCAACGCTTATGTATCAGGACCCGGTCATTCTTATAGAACGATGAGTTTCCTATGTAAATGGTCTCCAGTCAACCTCGCATCTCAGTCATGGTCATGGTCATGGCCATTCAAAATGAGAGTCAAGATTCCAACTAAACATAGAACATAAACTACAAGAAGCTTTCTCGCATCTCCGTCATGGTCATGGTCATGGCCATGGAAAATGAGAGTCAAGATTCCAACTAAACATAGAACAGAACCTACAAGAAGCTTGTCATAGCGTTCGACCCAGTGGAACTTGATCTGGCTTGCACCATAGAACGAGAGAGCTACCAGCGATGTCATTACAGCTATGGTGCTGCATATCCAAAATCACAATCTTATTTCATGTTCTGTCGATGTACAGAAGTTAATAGCAGTTTAAAATGTAGAGCTATCAGGAGTTGATGAACCACAAAATGCAGGCAACTCGATGTGGCAATCATTAGCTTAAAAAGCACAAACCATGCTTCGATCCAGAACATGTTAGCAGCAGAACATCGAGAATCATCCCAGTATTCAGAAACTTCTTAAAATCCTAAGCTTTGAAATTGAAAGATTTGGCTTGTGGATTTAAAACTAGACAGGGACAAACAATTTGGGTAGATTTCAGAGTTTTTACGACCTACACATTACTAGCAAAATCAAAATGGCTACATGATATGAGCTTGTTAAGCTAAGCGTGAAAGCATGTGTTACTTTTTTAAACTTGCGACTAAAAAAATTTCCTTGCTTGAAAAGTAAGGGATGAGTAGACCAACAACAAAATTTTATTTTAAAACTAAAAAAAATCCTTATTTGATAGTAAATCAGGGCTCACTCGACCAACAACAAAATTATTTATTTTAAAACTTATTTACTTAAAAGTAAACTTGTAAGTAAATATTTTAAGCCTAGCCAAACGTGCATACACATTTTGATTTTTCAAAACTGAGCAGTAACTATTTTCAGTCAAAAGAGCAGAAAATTGCTGCAGACCCCAAATGTTTATCATATTATCGTAGCAAAATCTAAATAATTTGTTTAAATCAATAATCTCAATAAGTTCTTTTAATGAATACTAGTTGCCTAGATGTAACTAGTAAGCGCCTCCGTTTGGCAAAATTTATAAATGGTCAATTTCAACCACAAATTCAAATGGACCTACGTACTATCTACTTTTTCATCACTCTTTTCTATTTAATTTATCAATTTAAACATTTGTAAATTAGTGCCGAACAGAGGCTACAAAATAATAGGGTGAAAGATAATAAAGCAAACATTAGATACTAAACATAGAAACAGTACCTGAATAACAGAACTATGATGGCAAGCACCATCATAGAAGATGAGTTTCCGACAGCAAGAAATACGGGAAGAGTAGTTGCACAAGGAGACAATGCAGGGACAAGAACAAGACCAGCAACGGCCATTTTTTCCATGGGTTGGTTGTGAGAATGGCTATGACCACCCTTTCCAGACAGAAACAAAATTATGTAACTGCCCCCAAGAACTATAAGCAACAAAGATGCAAGTTTATGCACGGTTTCCTCCCCCGCAATTGTGTTTGATATGGTAACTGCTGTTATGCCAAGCAGTGAAGTGGATAACACGTGCAACACTGCTCCAAATGCAGCTGCATGCAGATAATCAATTAGAAATTATCAAAACTGTATATGTGGTTAACAAAGTCATATAACTTATATTGGAGGCGGCAATATATGACTCGTACTAAATTCAGGAACTAACAAATTTGATGGCTGCCTCAAGGAAAAAAGGTAAAGCTTAAGACGACACTACATTTCACGAACAGCAGGTTTGGCCCCCGAGGTTCCACTCCTCAAGGCAGCCTTCCCCTCATTCTTAGGCCGACAAGCTTGAACATCTAGCATACACGCACACTATGAGTAGGGTGTTCAGAAATACCTACATATGATCATATCATTAGTGTACTTTTCGGTAAAATAAGCCACACGCCTAGTTGTTGGCGACCTTGCCGTGCCAAATGGGTAGATAAACATTCTCACTACATGACATTCTCTCCCATTCGAATTCGTTTACACCTTCGTGGCGGGAAGTGAACTTCGCATCAACGAGCATCTCTCTCATTGCAAGAATAACAACAGTATCACCTCCACGTGGATTGGCATCACACAATGCTCTCTCGCACATTGAACCGCAATAACTCGTACTTACCGCCTTCGACACCAACCTTCACCATATTCCCTTCTAAACAGCAGTACCTCAACACATGTCGAAGCAAATGCACAATCTTCATCATTGTGATTTGCGATGTGCGCTCCGCGAAACTCCTTGAAAGGCACATAGGCACAATCACGCAACACTGCTCTTTTCATCCTTCTTTCCAACAGCTTCCTTCATTGTGTTCCGCCAGCTTGCCGACACGATCCATGGCCCAAAATCTTTTCTCCACAAAAACGGACGCCATTGATCCTATAATTAACATTGCACGCTCGAGCAGTCCCCTTCTGATACCAACTTTCACGGACCATATGTTTAGCTCCCGAAATTCCATGCCTCAAGGCAGTCTTCCCTTCATTCTTAGGCCAGCAAGCTCGAACAACTAGTATACACGCACACTATAAGTAGGGTATTAGGGAAATACCTTCATATGATCATATCATCAGTGCACTCTTTGATAAAATAAGCTACACGCCTAGCTATTGGCAATCTTGTCGTGCCGAAAGGGGAGATAAGCATTTTCACTGCGTGATACTATGACTAGTTAAGCATCAAATAAGTACCCAAATTAAGATCTTAAACCCATCTAGATACAACCAATGTCCATTAGAACGAGATATAACAAAAGAAAATATGGTGCAACTATACATCCCCCAATCATGGCAACCAGATTTAGCCGTCAAGCCGCAACATATTCCTTGCCAATCTGTATCTCGCCTTATGTACTGTCCACTGTACATTTCTTTCGCATCCCCAGTGGTCCGAACCCAAGACTTCCCTTAAGTAGCACTTGAGTTGAATGCTACTATCAATTGAACAAATTTTAGTACGTTGGGGATGCGTAATAAAACCACGATGGGGGCACGACCCTTTAGTGGGCAATTTGTATGCAATATAGACATAATTTGCATGGAGCATATCAAGGCTTGATGAATAAATCATATGACCATGGTCAGGGGACTTATTATTACTACGATGGACATGGTCTGGTTCGGTTCAGTTCTAAAGAGACCCGAATTTTCGAATATTTAGTAAGTGAAATTGTCGGGTTCAAATTTAATTATGGAATCATTTGGTATCGGTTCCATTCAGTTCCCGGGTTCCGTACAATAATTAATTTTTTTATATTTAAAAGAACGCTACATTAATTCGACTATGACATGTTCAATCTTAATTATTACAAAATAATGTAGTTCAATCTCGTGATATATTTGCACATCTCTTTGCTCAGTTCTTCATAAATTTAATTGTTAAAATCATACGAAGAAGAAAATAGCTTGAAAATTGAAAATAGTAAAATCACATTTTATGTTTGGATTAAATTAATTAGTTAGCAAATTTATTTTAAAAAATAAAATAATTTGACTTATTTAAGATAAATTTTTTTTAAAAATTAGAGATTCGTCTAGAATTGAGAATCGAATCGAACTGAACACGTCGGTTTTTTATTTAGGTACCTATTCAAGTATTTAACTTAAAAAGAATCATTTAATTCGGTTCGGTTTGAGAGTTTTATCCAACCCTAATCATTACATATGACATGGCTATTGAAAGGTTCCAACTAGGGACAGGCATTTAATCCGCGAGATCGATCACCCTGATTGAACTTATTCAGGTTGGATCAGTTTCCGAATTTATTGAAGAAACACAACACAAAAAACCAACCTCAAATTGAGAACAAATAATAAAAGATTTACTATAACTATAAACTAAATATAACTTTGCAAATTGACCCCTGCTTGTCTCATTATCGTGTTACATATTTAATTAGGTGTTTTTACTTTTTTTTTTTTGGTTTAGAGACCTCAACTATTTTTTAAGGTCCAAATAGTTTTATTTTTTAGCAACTACAGAGAAAACCTTTAAAATCTTCATTTCTAATTGATTTAAATGGTCCAAGATTGATCGGTTCGGGTTGGTTTGGTTTTACCACTAATTCTAGGTTTGTTTTAAGCTAAAAGTTAGTTAAACCAAATTGTTTGGTTCGGTTTAGGGTAGGTTTGAAAGCCAAACCAACTTAACCCATGCAACCCCGTAGATATAGCATCTTTTAAGGTTGAGCATATTCTAACAATAAGGAGTACATCAGGAACAGGTATATTTATAACAATTCATTCGAATGGTTCATGTAAGTATGAAAAGGATACTTATGCAATCGCTAGTTAATCAAGCCTAACTGTTTCGATACCTACAATAGTATCAACAAACATGTTAAAAAGAGAGCTAATGACGGGCATTTGTAATGCGGTCCAGCCACTCAAACTGCAGTCTCTGAACAAATCTACAATAAAGTAGAAAAGTTGGATGTACAATCGATAACCTTGCCAAAAATCAAACAGACAGAAATTATCCAAAAATTGTACGTCACAATGCTCTTGTGGAAGCAGGGGAAATTGGTAATTTTTTATTTGAAACATTTGATCAACTACACGTCTGTTGCAATAAACTACCTACATGATCGGGCTGGCCCCTAAACTTTATTCTATTCCACTTTATGCCTTTGGGTTATATATTGGTTTAAAGTCTCTCTTCCTTTAGCTATCCAACAGAACATTTAAAGCTTGGTATAGGGTATCTATCTAAATTTACTTCCTGACCCTCCAAAATCATATCAAGTTCTTCTGCATTTGTCCAGAGCATTCTAATCTTATGCATCAATCTAAAGTCCTTATTATTATTATTTTTATATATAAAATTGAAACTACATACTAAAAACAATCAATGTTTTGGACAATATGATAGTATATTTGACGCCAATCTCATCTTTATTTCTACCATAATCAATGAACACTCTATGTATCAGTCTTAAGGTTCATTTTCGTATGGTTGTTGTGAGTAGAGCTTTATCATTAGAGTTTTTGCTAGCAGAGATTGTTCAAAAAGAGCTATTAATAGTTGTTGATTGTTCGGTTGTTAATGCAGAAAGTGTTGCGAGTATTATATTGATTGTTTGGTAGTATAACTACAAAAGTGGTTTTGTTTTATTACTTGTACAAATACTACATATTTGTTTGACAAAAATTAAATAATTTATTCATAAATAATATTTAAGATAAAAACATATTATAAACCTTTCAAAAAGAATCCTTAAAATTCATTTAATATTTCGTTATGCATAAGATAATTTGGATCTATTTAGTATTTTAGTAAAGTATAATAAGGATAATTTCGTTAGTTGTAAAGTTTCATTAAATATAGATTTGAACTTCTCATATAAGCTGGATGTAGAGTTTTTTAAGAATCTCAAATTTTAAGCTTCTCTAAAAGAGTTTTGAAAAGTTTTTTTATTAGTCAGCAAGCATTTTTGGACTTTAACCAAACACCCATTATTTTAACCAAAACAGCTTTTGCCCTCCATGAAGTGCTTTTGAGCTTTGTAAGAGTTCTTCCAAACACACATTTAGTTCCACGTAATCGTAAACTAATGTTTTCAAAGTCCTCGTCCAAAGCCCTAACTAACATTTATCCCCTTCCTTGTGCCATCTACAAATATGTCTCAAAACATACAACAGAGCGCCTCATTTTGGATACCTAGTAAGCTCATCTAAAAATATATACATATATAAAAAATAAAAATAAAAAAGGAAAAGGAGACTTGGCAGAACTTTTATGCAAGCATATAGTAATAGAAAATTCTTTACTACCAACTCCACTTGATCTCGAATTCATGATGCTTCTTTTTGCATATCTTTAGTAGAAATTCCTTACTTTGCCATAATCCAACTTATCACTTCATCGACCATCCTATCATACGGTTTTGCCAAGTGAAGAAAAAACATATGCAAATCTGGCTTGTTTTCTCTATGTTTTCCATTAATTTCCAATGTAACGATAATATTTTTTAAAATTGATCTCCTCAACATAAAACCCAAATTCGTTATCTTCTACCTTCGTATATTATCTTAATCTATACTCAATACCCCTCCCATATACATAGGGAAAACAAGCTTACGTGATACCACAAGTGCAGAATGCGAGCTTCTTTAAGCATCACATCCAGTGACTCCATGCCTCAAGCGAATAAGACTACCGCGATACTTACCACATGCTACTCAGGATTTGGTTGTGAAGCACTCGACATAGTCATCGGTGTCAAGGAAAACAAACCCAGTAAATTATTTACTTTAAGCTAGTACGCGATCCCTCATTTTGAAAAGTTTTGTCATTAGCATTCCTCCCATTGAAGCTCACGTTATTCCAACTACCACAAAATATAGGAAGTAACCAAAAACAGTATCTAACCATATTCAATTCTCAAAATTGCCACAATAACTTCCCCAATTCATCCAACTAGCTGAACTGCATATTCTCCTAAACTTTGCAACTCATTTAGTTTCGCTTGTTTATCAGAATTAATCAGAAAACCGTAGTGCCATTAAATACCGTTCATATACACGACAGTGCTCCCACATATAATGACTCCAACAAATCAATAAATTGTACTACATCTAACAACCACTACAAAATTCTTCAGATCAATCAACACCATGGAAAACCCCTTCTTTTTCCCCATAAAACCTGGCGGCAAACTTCTAGATCTCACCAATCACACGGGAATTCTTAAGATAATACAACAATCTTCCATTCCAATAAAGAAAAATCACATTTCTCACTCTCTCAAAGTTTCAATTAACAGTTCAACGGAATGTATACATATACAGCAACTTACATATAAACTAGACGCGTATATATTGTCACTTACTGACAAGGAGAGTGCGAGAAAGCGACCATTTTTGAGCCCGCCCAACGATTGAAAAAGGCAACCAATGCGTCGGTATGAATGAGTGTAGCAGTGAAACTGTTGCTATTCCTCCGATCGTCGATAGATCTTCTGCACTGATACTGAATTTTCCACTCTCCATTTTTCCAATTCTTACTTTTCCTTTTGATTATTTGAAAGTGATATTGGCATCAACAGAAAAATAAATAAATAAATGCTATTTAGCACAATAGGCTTTTAACATGATGATCCGAAAAATTCAGATATTTTAGCTCTGTTTGGTCCGAAATAAAATTGGAACGTTGCTACAGTAAAAAATTGCTACCCTATTTTAGTAATTTTTGGAAAAAAAAAGGATTAAATATGTGTTTGAAAAATAGTAGATGCCATAAAATGTTTGTTAATTTAATTGTTAATTTTAGATTTAAATTTTGATTTTAATCGATACTAAACAAGGACTCAATGGGTTGAGGATTCAAACCTCGATTTTGAATGTCAGATATATGTGGCCATACCACATAATGGTTAAGGCGCTCAACATTAATTTTCTTCGATAAAATTTACTCTTTAGAAGGTAAGACTAAATTCTTGTTTGATCGTCATTATTTGTTTTTGAATATGATTTTTCGAAAAATATGTCATTAATTCCCTTATTGATAAGAGTTATTTGGATAAATTTGAGTTTTGAATAGCTGTTGTTTTTTAAGAACTAGTCACAGCTAAACGCGCGTTGTACTTTTTTTTTAAATATTTTATAAACGCTGTAAAAATAATATTTGAAAATTAGTTAATATAAAAAATAATTAAAAATTTTGTTTATGTGAAATGAATTTTTTATACAATTTAATTATTTATTTACGTGTATGATAATAATTAACATTAATTTATATATATCCAACTATAATTCAATCAATTAATTCTTTAGGTTCATGCACGTACACTTTCTATATTTTGGGGGCTATTCAATTACTCTAGAAATATTATAATTCAATTATTTATGTATGTGCATGTATACTAATTAACGTTTATTTATGAATATATAAAATATAACATTAAATCATCAAGTTCATGTACACATATTTTGAGAGTTATTTAATTATTCTAGTAGTAAGTAAATTATTCAAGTTCATGAATACGTATTTATTTTCAAAATTATTTATTTTATCATAAATTATTCTATAGTATATAAATTATTAAAGATCATATAATTTGGGAGTTATTCAAATATTATAGGAGTAAATAAATTATTCAAATCCATGCACACTTATTTAATTTCAATATTATTCATTTAATTTATGATATAACGCCATTTGTCTAAATGTATATATATTATTCTTTTTTCTTTATTCATTGATTCAAATTAATTAAATTTCATGTTGGTTCACGTGCACCTCATTTATTTAAATGTATATAAATTATTATTTTTCTATATCTATTAATTCTAATTAATTAAATTTCATGTTGGTTCACTTACAACCCATGTCTATGAATCAATTTGATTGTTTTCGTACAATTCAATTATTTATTTTCGTGCATATTTAATAATTAATATTTTATTAAATATATATTGAAAAACGAAAAGTAAGATACTATTGAAATAATTAAATTGTAGTAGGGCTAAAATCGTTCAAAAAATCATTCTCACTTCATGCGATATTTAATATATTATAGATGTGTGGTTATAAAATAGGAAAAAATTTGATTTACGTTTAAAATATTTTATTAATGTATAGTTGAAAATGAGCATGTAAAAAATGTTTTAAAATAATAGTTATCAAACATGAGCTAAAAAGTATAAAAAAAAAAATTTGATTTACATTCAGAATATTTTATTATGTGAATGTGCAGTTGAATATGAATATAAAAGTTAAATAATTTTATTTTAAAGAGAGACCGTCGAAGATTTAGAAAATAAAATCTCATATGTACAGTCAAAATGCTCTTTTTATTTTAGAGAATTTTAAAATTCATTGTGAAGGTTTGAAGTGTAGTGTGATTTACTCGACGTTGTATTATTGTAGCGAGCAGAAATTATTGTACCAAAACTTAAAAGGCACGGTAAGGTCATTTTCCATCTATAGTATAATGCCACTCTTAGCCTAAGTCACCAATGTCGAAAGGCCTAATCTCAACTATTGCACTCCAAATTGATAGGACTTGGAACTCTAACCAAGCAAAAGTCATGAATCAGATGATTCTTTCATTTGATCGTCGATACTTGAACACAGAATTCTATTGTACTTTCAATATATCATTAACAAAATGTACGCGATAACATTCATACCTTTAACGATCAGCAAATCTCAAATGACCTGTCATTGTAACCATCCTGAGTATTACACTCACGGCTCTACAAGTGCTACTAGTCCTCATAATTCAAATTACGTTCGTACTCACTTTTTCACTAATATAGTTACAGGAACTTTGTCGATAGCCCTACTCAATAGACCAGTTGAAGAGCCTACGAGTCAATGTATGTTTACGGTTTGCAGTCCACTGGGGCCTTTTGTTCCAGCTCCTCCTGAAGTTGCGATGCGAATGTTCCGAGACCAAGGAGGTCCTTCTCCTTTTGATGGTGGTAGAAATGGAAGGTCAGGGCACCAGGTCAGTGGGCCTGCCCCAGTAATAGCTTTACCTCCAACATTCCGACAGGATCCTCGGAACTTGCGAAGGTCAGCTGTTCTTCCTTATATTTTCTGTAAGTGGACAATGATACACCAATGTAGTGTAGCAAGGTACTGAAATTGAGGAAACAATTGGGACCGGGGCCTTTTAGAGAGAGCCAGTTCTGTGGTTTTAAATACTTAGTTCAGTTTGAGAAACATACAGCAACCTGTGTCATAATTAGTAATTACTGCACATTTTCTGCAAGTTGAATGAGATCAAACTATTTTACTCTCTAAAACACTCGTAGCCTGGTTTTCTCGCCTCTGTTTCAGTCAAACATTATTTTGATGTGACCTCAAAACAAGTTTTTGGAGCCTCTTCCAGGTAGAAAGCAGAACATCCCTTTGTTTTTCCACCCAATACATTTTTGCTAATAATTTACTGTAGAAATTATCAACCATTTGCTTCTGGATCTGTATTTTCCTGAGCTTTCACCATTCAGTTTCTGAGTGGAGGATGACAAATGTTGATTGCATTTAAGATTACCTTTGTTTCATTTTTTGGCTTAAAGGTATTTTTTATGATCAATCTTCAGTCAGAGCTTGTGCCTCTAGATTAGTCAAGCTTAATTCAATAAATAATCTCTTAATATACATGGCTAAGCTATTTATCAGACAGAGTCCTTACTCTTGGTGGGCAAGTGGCAACTCAACTATTGACCATGATTGTACATGGGATTCAATTCAGTATAGGTGTGCAATGTTTTTGTGGAATAATGTATGACAGGAGGATGGATTATATGGCAACTAGTTTGATCAACCTTTCTCTCAACTGAGCCATAAACGGGACCGAGCATAGTCTGTGCATGGGCTAGTCTTTGTTTAACAGATGGGTTGAAAAATTCTGCTGTTTTCTAGCCTGCTAATAATCTTTTTGGCTGGTATGTCTAACAGTAGGATACAGCTGAGCTGTTTATTGAAGCACTTTTCTCAATGAATACCCATAAACTGGACACATGGAAATCTGTTTTATAAGTAATCTTTGTACGAGTGTGCTAACGATACCATCAGCTAGAAGTTTCGACCTCATTACTCTAGGATTAAATTTGAAACTTCTGCTAAAAGATAACTGCCAATTAGACGACGCTTTATAAATTCCATTTATTTCATTGAGACGGTTAAGGAACTTCGAATGTTAACAAAATATATCTGCATGTACCAGTCTTCATATTTTTCATTTCACAATGGAATTTCTAACCTGGGTTTAAAATTTTTTGCAGCTATAATGACCTGGATGCTCAAGAAGATGAAGTAACGGTGATCGACTATAGGAGTCTATAAGTTTATACGATGGACAAGCAATAAGAGTACGTTGCTTGCATCCCACTTGAAGATTTAGAAAACAGAAAGTGCACAAACTTTATGATATGTGAAGATGAGGTGATGCACTCTACCCGTGCATGTGCTACTTGCATTGGCTTTTTCTTGCTGTTAACAATACAGTCAGATATGCCCAGGGTCAAAGTTTGCGGCTATTCAGAGTTTTCAAAAAAAAATTTCCTCCCACCCCGAGAAATGTTTTCCAAGTATTCAAAGGGTAAGGGTGCCGTATAATTTTATTTTTGGACATTTTGTTTAAATTTTTTGTTTTTCATTTATCACATAAAAGTTAAAGAACTTGATGTAGTTGTGCATTTTAATTGCAATTGAACCTCTAGAATTGGAACCAAACCAGAATCTCCTTCGGTTTCGGTCTGGTTCTAGAAAAAATTAAGAATTGGTCGAATGTCCGTTCGATGGTTCTTGTACCGGAACTGTGGGTGCCTGACTCTAGAATCGAATTAGTCTTTTTTCATAACTTTTTTATTTTTTAAAATTCATTCATCCTAGCTCAATGATCTGATGGGATGCATAGGAAACAATGAGATGGAAAGAGAAGTTGACATGTTGATTGTTACGCTATTTTTATAGGATTTATTTTGTTATTTTCATCATTTGTAGAATCTAGTACTTTTTTGTTGGTTTCTAGTTTTTGGTTTGTCCTTTTGGTATGTAATTTGGTGTTTATGTTGTGTTAGATATTGTATGCTATTTGGTGACATATTTACAATCAATAAAGAAAATGTTGAAATATATATTTTGTGGTATATTTTATTTCTTCTATTTCTATTAGATATTAGGAAGATAATTTATATTGTTGGCTAACAATTTTTAAAAAAATGTTATGGGATCGAACCTGAACTGTATCCAGTAATTATGTGGACCCGAATGATTTCGCTTGCGAAATATTTAAGGTGTAATAAGGGGTTCTAAACACTGAAATACTTGGATCGATCCATTCGATGCTTAGTTCTAGTAGTTGGATTTAATTTACTACGTTACAAGAAATGAAATCTTGGAATAACAAACTTAAAATTTTACATGGTTCTTGTTTCAGTCGATTGTAAACGAAGTCTTGTTGATAAAATTTTAATTCAGCTGCATGAAATTCTTTTCACCATTCAGTTTAGTTTTGTAATATCCTCTTTTTTCATGGTGTGGTCTCACACACAACAGGCAAGGTGTGAGGTTTACAAGCTCGAGACGGTACCTGTTTGAATGTCAGTAGTAATGTAAATTACTTAATTCTGAGCATTTTAGAATAAGAGCAAGAGTAGGGTCTCATAATATTCAACTTAATTTGCTATATTAGTGCTTTTTTTGCGTTCAAAATTAAGAATGAACTGACAAGAGAACTTCACCTCATAACAATTTCATGGAATTATCAGTTGAATCCATGAGATACAAAAATTCCCTAAATTTATTGCAGGCAGATTCTGGCAAGCATATGCATAAAACCATTGTACCATTAGAGCCGGCCTCGTCTCCTTGCGGCAAAAATAGACAAACTTGTGGAGTTGGAGTCAGATCAATTGGACCAGCATATACTGGCCTACCCCATCCAAAATCAGCAGATTCATAAATTGAAAATCTTGTCCATTGTGTTATTGTTAATTTTCCACCAAATTCCAACCTCTTTGGCCTGCTTGCTTCAACATAGTCTATTGTAGATCTCAAATATTCCTCCGATACGCCTAGTCGAGCCTCGTGCACCAACCGGGCTGTCTCTGAAAGTTGTCTGTTGACAAGCCTTTGGACCGTACTTGTTGCACACGCAACACACAAGGCATTGCCATAAAACCCGTCTTTCAAAGGTGGGTTTTTGAGCTTCGGACGAGCATTGACGGAAAATGTCAGACGAAGCTCGTAATCGAGAGGCTTTACGTCTAAAGCCTTAACCCAAGATCTCCACACATGAGCTGCCATTGCATCAAAGGATGTGCAAGAAAAGTTTCCATCTGATCGTGCTAAGTTTTTCACATGGATTTGAAACTCTTGACTTATTCTGTAGCATTTTTGGACAGGTTTGACTTCCCATAGACTCTTTGTTAGGTTCGAACAATCATCGATTCTCTTGAACTCGGTGTGTGAGAATTCGACCTTTGGTGGATCACGGGGTCGAAAAGTTTCTCGATCCCAGCAAGGGGTCGGGTTTATAACCAACGACCTGGTTTTTGCGGTTGCAGCCCATGCACTTAGGAACTGCATTGCTCCAAGCCCATCACAGAGGCAGTGGCAAATTCTCAAACCGAGGCTAAATCCACCACAACTAAATTTAGTCACTTGTGCTATCAATAATGGCATGTCAACAACTTTATACTGTTCTTCATTAGGAAATCTGTATATCAATTTAACCCATGCAGGATTTGAAACGGTTAAATCTCCTAAATCAGCTAAGGCCACATCCGAACGCGCCTCAACTAGAAGTACACCTTGATCAGGACCGAAAAATACTTCTAGCTTCCCATTCTTCGTTTCCCTTAACCTCCCTGAGAAAGGATAATATGGCACTAACACGCTTCTTAGAGCGTCTCTAAGTACTTTCATGATCGGTTCATGATGGAAATGCCACTCATTCGATCTGTAAAAGTATACGGTTGGAGTGAAAACACGTGCTCCAATCATGTCATCAAGATTCGAGAGGTAAAGGCTCTCGTGGCTGGATACAGGGGTCATGATCGGGGAGATATTTTCTAGGGTTATTGGAATGTCTAAATGAGAAAAATGAAGTTCTTGAATCCATGGAGCCATGAGAGAAAACAGCTTTTACAATTAATTTGTAGACGATCCAGCTTACAATCTTCATCCATCATGCGTGTAACTATCAGATCTTAAGCACGCAAAGATCCCGAGGTATTCATTTGGTGTAAAACTGTTGATATTACTATTTTATATTACTAGAGTTAAATTTTGTTGGTAAAGTTATGTTTATTCATAGGAAATATCATTCAAAATGGATGAGTATGAGTAGTTGAAGGTAGATAAAAACCCTCTCCAAATGGTAAAACCAGACATCCTAATATGTTGCACTTCACAAGAATAGGTTCATAAGTTTAAGGTCAAACGTACAACGCCCTCATAGAAATTGTGCCTGCCAACAAAAAACCGTAAATATACCATGTTACACTGGTGTGCTGGACCCATACATCTATTATTGCGTTTCTTATATCGCAAGTGTACGGTATCGTAACAAGCAGTATAATTAAGTCCGGATATCGTTCCCACGAAGACTATACTTTAGAACTTAATCTAATTTTTCTAACTCCTATTTGACAAAATCATATAAATAATTATGATGATTGTGATTATTTTTCCTAACTACTTTTAACTAATTGAAAATATAAAAAGATTGCAAACAATGGATAATTGAAAATTCAAATATGTGATGAACATTAGGGCATAACATTTTTATCTAATGATCACTTTTATTCTTAATTCAAGATTCATAA